GGGGGGGGGGGGGACAATTTTATTCATACCTGAAAACTTACATTTAACCAGAAAAAAAATACAGAATTGAAATACTCAAATTAATTTTTCATCTAGTAGAGTCTCTGTAGAGGACAAAACGTTATGTTTTAGCGATTTCTCTGAGACATGCCACAGTTGTACGTCTGGATGTCCTGTACAGAGCGCATTCAGGGCTTTTCAGAGATGCTAAATGATTGGATGTTTCTCCGTGACCACCCCCTCTCCTTGGTCTTTAAAAATGGCTGACAGTCACTTAGTGATCAAGTGTGACACCCTTATGGAAATATGATCATATTTTGTCATTATCATTTAAATCGGACTAATTTTCAAACTGTGTGTCATAAATCAACTTCTCAGGAAAATGTTATGGGGTTTCAAATCAAAATGTGAGCTTCTGTTATGAAACCGGACTTCAGTTTCATACATGTCCACTGTAGAGGACACCAGGACTTAAAGCATGTTTATTACACATTTTGGGAGACACAACAAATGAATAGAGAAAAAACGATGTATCGATATTCCTATTAAATATTAGATATTATTATGAAAATCTTGCTAATTATTACTCCCATTATTGCACTTATTTGTTCATTCTATGTTGCCCCAAAAACACATTAATTTGCAAATTAGATACAGTTTATAGACACATTGTATATAATGCACAAACTTGTTTATGGCCATTTTACACACATTTTGCATAAAGAAAAATGGTTTTTAAAAATATCTTTGGTTACACTTTACTTGAAGGGGTGTGCATAAGACTGACATGACACCTACATAATCATGACATGACACATGTCATGAATATTAAGGGTTTTAATGCATGTTTATGACAACTGTCATTAAGTGTCATTCGCTCAGTTATGTAATTTTTAATGCAAAGATGACATTGTTTGAGATGTCTTTGTTATGGGCTATGGTTAGGGGTAAGGGTAGGGGTAGGGTTAGGTTAGGGTTAGGTCAAATAATGTCATATTTGCATTAAAAATTACATAACTGAGCGAATGACACTTAATGACAGTTGATATAAACATGCATAAAACCTCCTTCATATTCATGACATGTGTCATGTCATGATTATGTATGTGTCATGTCATGATTATGAAGGTGTCATGTCAGTCTTATGCACACCCCTTCAAGTAAAGTGTTACCATATCTTTCATAACATAGTTGAGAATCATCTTTATATAAAGTTTGGTATAAAAAAATGAAAATTGATTTGTGATTAAAACAAAAGTCCCACTGTTTTTGCCTTTTCGTGTCTATTCATGTCTTTTGATTTCTTAAAAAACAGGACTTTTTAAAGTCCCGATGTCGCAAAACATATGAATAAAATATAATTTTTGAAAAATTATGTTTTCGATTTTTTCTTATGCTCTAAACAATGTAATGACATGACAAAATACTAAATTCGCAAAACTTTCTACATTTCTACCTGTCTGTCTATACTTCCAGTTTATTTGTTTGTGTATTTACTTTTTATTTATTTAATAAACATTATATAATGCCAATTATCAAACAAACAAACTGGATTAAAAAATGAAAAGACCAGATACCAGGTCCCCTTTTTCTAACATGGAATTTTGGTGGAATTGTATTTTTATTATTATTATTTAATATGATTTATATATATATTTATACACATTCAGGGCAGAAGGCAGCAATGCATTTTTATACCTGGTATCAAGTCTTGGTTGACTGAGTCAGAGTGAAAAGCATCATAACTGCACACTTCCTGGCACCTCCTCTTCCCCGAGCACACAGATCCCGCTGGGCAGAAGCGCCACTCTCTCCCCAGGGGAAGGCGGCCCTCAGCTCGGGGCCTCTTTGTCATGCAGCCGCTGGCCCCTGGCCTTGGGAACTGACTTGCAGCAGTGAACACATCTATTGGCTTGGCTCTGGGCCGGAGGCTCCCTTTGTCTCCCCGCAGACAGAGATGCCAACTGGGAAGTGCTTGTCATCGCTGAGTTACCGAGGCAGCCAACCTTCAAAACAGCCCCAAATGTTAAGTACAACTGCATCATGGGACATCTACTAAGGTCTGTGGCCCACAGCGGCTGCTTGAACGAGAATTGTTATGAACCTTCACCCTTCTTTAAGAGGAAAAGAGAGGACGCAATCTCCCTTTGACAAAAGAGGAACAAAATCATGCAGTAGACAAGCAAAATCTCAAAAAAATCTTACCCCAGAGTTAAAAGAACGTGAAATTCTATTTTGTGTAAAGAAAACGAAGCCTGTTTTACAATAAAGCACATTTACGTTAAATGATCATCACAATCTATCCAGAAACTTACATAATTCACATAAAATAACATAATTCTCAATAATGATTCTCAATATTATTACATTTTAATTATTTAATTAAGGCAGTACAACAATAGGCCATGATGTAAAAATACCTCACTTTAAATATATTTTGTCACGTTACACTAATGATAATGAGATATTTATGTTTTTGCCATTCCTAGTCAGTGGCAGGTAGGACATTCTCATTCTAGAATATTTTATTGGACAATGATATAAACACACCTGTGATGCAGGATCAGTAATGAATATTTTTCATTGTCTTTGAGAGAAATTGCAGGTTTTCAAACGTATGCGTTTAAAAAATAAAAAAAGTGAAAGTGACTTGACTATGGTGACCCATACTCGGAATTAGTGCTCTGCTTTTATCCCATCCTAAGTGCACACACACACACAGCAGTGAACACACACACACACCGTGAACACACACCCGGAGCAGTGGGCACTTATGCTGCAGTGCCCGGGGAGCATTTGGGGGTACGGTGCCTTGCTAAAGGGCACCTCAGTCGTGGTATTGAAGGTGGGAGAGAGCGCTGTACATTCACTCCCCCCACCTACAATCCCTGCCGGTACAAGACTTGAACCCGCAACCTTTGGGTTACGAGTCCGACTCTCTAACCATTAGGCCACGACTTCCCAAAAAACATAAAAGACTAAAAGACACAATGATCTAATTTTTATTTGATTTGTCAAATCAAGCACAATATGATGTAGTTTGGACATTTCATGCACTGGACGTGTTCTTGACAGACTTCCTGAGATTCACTCAGTTGTGAACATGAGGAGTCACAGTGAACTGGCCACTCTAAAAAACGGTTCTTTAAGGATTCTGCGGCACGTCATGATGTTGTGTAATGAAGACAGTACATAACAATTAAAGATTATAGGAACTGCTGCTTCAACACCACAGCTAACACTGAGAAAGAGAAGACGTAAAGAGTGGGACATGATGAACTGCATGAGTCTCTCAGCTCATTGTTGCGGTGCTGAATGTCAGTCAGTGAGCGCTGGATCTCAGTGTCATGTTATGTGTGACCTGTATTCAACAGTTCCTTTCTATATTCATACACACACACAAACACACATATGTATATGTATAGGTACATGTATATGTATATATGTGTTTGTGCTTAACTCTAATGGTCTTAAAAATATGTTTTATCATATAAAATATAATACATGTTTTATAATATAATTGTTTTTATCATTTTTTTAAATATTTTTAAATCATTTTATAATTAATTGTCATTTAAATGGTAAAGTATTCATAGACTATGGTAGGATTTGTTCTGCTGCCTTTAACTGATGCCGATTTTGAGAATATCGAGAATAACAAAATTAATCTGGATTCATTCAATAATAAGAATTTTAGCGGAAATGTGCTTGTCATGAAAATAATGCGAATTATTTTAAGTCTTAAAATAGGCTTGATTTTTTTTAATGACGAAACTGTGACCAAGACATGTTTTTGTCAAACTGATCCTTTGAAAAATCATGTTTATGATCAAAATAACTGTAATTTATAACTACATTTATAAATAATACTTGATGATCAACTTAGTTTTTTCTTTTTCTTTATTTCTTAATTTTGTTCTTTGAATATGAGCACCTAGATGCAGAAAATAAAGAAAATTAAATAAACTATCAAATAAATCGAACAAGTCTTGAAGAGTGAATTGCCTGTGCAAGCTTGGGTTTAGTCAAGAAACAAGACAAAATAAGCCTTTGCTGCCATCCAGTGTTTTTTCACATGAATAACATTCAAATCACTTCACTGACCTCAGGTTGTCTTCACCTTTAACCTCTGCGCTCTGTAAATTACTGACACTAAAGAAGGCATACATCTTAATAACTGCAGTTACACGAAAAGATGCCATGTTGGTTCACAAATCTGAACTCTTATATGCAGATTGTAAATGAAAGTGGCCATGCACAAGCGATGCAGAAACAATTTTCACTCAAGAATTGCTAGTAAATATCACATAGTAACAGCTAGTAACGCATTGAATTCAACTAGAATTTTTAAGGAGAAAGGCTGAAATAGTATTTTCTTGTAAAACATACTCCAATAATCTTTGTCTTACTTGCAGCTGTGAAAAATCATGTTTGCCATTTTCAGTGGGTGTAATGAGTTCACTTGCATTTTTGCTTGAAAACTTGTCATTTGATTACAAGCAGTGATGAAGCATGCAGAGGTCAGCAGCATACAGTATATCAGCCACGACTTTAGATATACCTTTGATATCAGATCATATTTGATCATTTTGCCATATTCTCCCTCCCTTCTGTCACTACTACCAAAAGCTTTGTAAATTAGTAATGTGCAATGTTTGTTTTCAATCCTCTTTAGTGAATTTTAAATTAATAGTAATACCGTAATACAAATGCAAATGCTTTCATTTTTGTTTTTTATGAATACATTTTATAGTTATATATATATAATGTGTGTGTGTGTGTATATATATATATTGCTTGAAAACTTGTCATTTGATTACAAGCAGTGATGAAGCATGCAGAGGTCAGCAGCATACAGTATATCAGCCACGACTTTAGATATACCTTTGATATCAGATCATATTTGATCATTTTGCCATATTCTCCCTCCCTTCTGTCACTACTACCAAAAGCTTTGTAAATTAGTAATGTGCAATGTTTGTTTTCAATCCTCTTTAGTGAATTTTAAACTAATAGTAATACCGTAATACAAATGCAAATGCTTTCATTTTTGTTTTTTATGGATACATTTTATAGTTATATATATATAATGTGTGTGTGTGTGTGTATATACAGTGGGTACGGAAAGTATTCATATACCTTTGATATCAGATCATATTTGATCATTTTGCCATATTCTCCCTCCCTTCTGTCACTACTACCAAAAGCTTTGTAAATTAGTAATGTGCAATGTTTGTTTTCAATCCTCTTTAGTGAATTTTAAATTAATAGTAATACCGTAATACAAATGCAAATGCTTTCATTTTTGTTTTTTATGAATACATTTTATAGTTATATATATATAATGTGTGTGTGTGTGTATATATATATATATATATATATATATATATATATGAGCAATACTATGCTCGTAGCCATGCAATATGGCTGTATATCGGCATAACTGTGGTTTGGCTGTAGGTAATCACAGCGTGCCGATATACAGCCATATCGCATGGCTACGAGTGCGATATTGCGTTTATACAACAGTTTGACGGCACCAGTGTGTAAATACATAAGAAACAACAACAAAGTGTCTTTAAAAATCCTCTTTTGTGTGCAACTACTTCCTTCTGCCATGGATTCAAATCTCAGTTTAACAGCTGAGCTCAAGCATCTGTTGAGTTGCTTCATTGAAAGCTTACTGTATTATGTGGAGTAGAGTATTATGAGAGAGATGGACTGAGCGAGTGTGATTGCCTGCATCTGATACAGCATTCATTCTTCAGCTCAATCTCATATTCACAATAAAACATGAGTTTGAATGGCCGCGGAGGAAAGCGATATCTTTGTCATACTATCTTTCATCTGTTACGGGTGATTTCCGATGACAACGCTGTTCAGTGCATTTGTTGGCTGCGTCTACAAGCTGTTGTTGAAAGTAAAAATAACTTCCTTGTTTACAACCCTGTTTCCTTCTCTTTCAATATAAAAGTCTTTACTGCTGACTCGTAAAAAGTCGCCCATCTAATGGGCCACCCTCGTCAGGCCCTTGGAATCGTCCTAACCTTCCCCGTCGTTACAGCACCCCTGCCCGTTAAAATTTACCCAAATCTAATTATATCTCATGTTTAACCATTAGCCAGCGGCAAACTCCAGAAGATCTGGCCGAGGTGAGGCTGCTCTCAGCGCGATCATGAGCGCTGAACGCCCGCTGACGCCCTGGAGCTCACGTCTCCGGAAACGTCAAAGCAACTTTTCTAAAAGACGGTTTCTTTTAGAAAACCGCTTATTTGACTCCTAAACAACTACATTGTCGCCTAAAAAAATTTTATTATTAATAAAATTATAGTGAATTTGGGCGTCCACCATGACACACGGCGTGATACAAACAGCGAAACGGTTGGAGTTCCGGTATCACCTGAAAATCACACTCCTGGAAAAGGCTCTCAGCCAATCAGATTTGAGGACCAGAAAAAAAACGTTGTATATATATATATATATATAATTTCAACATTTATTATGTAAAATTGATTTTTCAGAGTTTCCAAAAAAAAACTAAAGTCATTTATACCACAATGGAAACTTTTGTCCCTACTTGGTCACTTTAGACATGCATGTTTGTTTGTTAATTAATCTATATATTTTTATTTAGTGTACTTGGTTTTGGAAAATACAGATAAAATGTAAGACATTTGATATGTGAGGCAAACAAAGTTAAATAAAGGTAAATCGCAAGCTGTTATTTATTTATTCATTGTGATACATGAAATGTTAACTATGAGAAGACAAAAAGTTGGTTATTTTAATCACTGTCATTACATATACACACACTGTTTTATATATATATACAGTATATCAATATTTACTATTACTATTTTTACACATTGCTACTGCCCCTGAGTATTCTGGCTTCACCTAATTAATTTTTTTGCCATAGATATTCCTTTCAAGACCTATTCTGAGGCTTGGTAGCATCCCCAAGACAAGAACTCATCATGAACATGTAATATTTTGGTAAAGCAGGTTAGGGGGCGCTCTGTCTCTGAGGTGTGTAGGTGTGAAAGACCCTCTAGATGGCGCCTGAGATCTCCAGATCTTTCACAGCAAACTGAGACATCCAAGTCAAAAGATCTAGAATTATATTCAGGTATAAGATCATGTGAGGTTTGTTCTCTTGTGTGTTACTAACCCTTACAATGTCCTATGTGATAAGCCTACATATAAATGTAGAACAGTTAATAATAATAATACTTCCACGCTTTTCTTTTAAAAAAGAAAATAGAATTGTCTCTTTGTCTCAGAATGATCCTGCGATGAGGTCTGATGTTATGAATATAGTTGTATGGATGCTATATACTTTTCAGTGATGTAATGATTGAATGTCTCAACAAGGAAAAGCTTCAAGGGCACAGATGAAACATACAGCTTTCCAAAAACAAAAATGCCTCTACGTTCAAGTCATTTGTGT